CCGGGAGCCGGCGGGCGCGGGCTCGGCAGCGCGGGCTCAGGAGGTGTTGCTGCTCCCGCAGTGCCAGGCACAGCAGAACCTCCCCAGCTCCAGTGAGGTGAGTGCGGTGCTGCGGCACAGGGACATGAGCGTGGCGAGACCTTTCATCTCATCACATGGGGGGCCACCACGAGGCAGCGGCCACCCAGCCCCAGGGTACAGGGGTGTAGGACACGCTCTGCCCCCAGCAGGGAGGTCACTCCATGTCTCCTGTGCCTGTCCACCTCTGCTACACCTCGCCTGGCACAAGCCCCCACGCCTACTCTGGTTCTGACTTAAACATCTTACAGAAGCATCACATCTTCCCCAAGGGAGCTGCCAGAAGTTGAAGGCTTGGATGCCATGATCTAAGAGGGAGATGAGGAGCAGAGGGATTGTGTGGGTCTCGGGCAAGGCCATACCTTAGGCTGGTGCTCAATCTTGTAGGAGGTTTGCTGGAACTGGCGGATCTCCCTTATGATGTGTGAAATCTGTCCAGAGAGAGAAAACGGGAGCTGTAACAGCACAGCCGGCACCACCAGCACCGCACCCAGCCTCTTCAGCACAGCACAACGCCAAGGGCCTTTGTTTCATCCAGACACATCCCTCATCAGGAGCAGCCCCAGCTCTGCGCAGGGGACATGTGTGGCCCCAGGGACATGTGGCTGATGGTGGCTTTGGGGACTGCAGAGACCCAGCCAGGACCCCAGCACTGAGCCGCATCGCTCCAATCCAGCAGGGCTGGGCCACTCACCATCCTCATCTTGGAGAAGTTCACCAGCCCGTCCTCAGTGTAGTTGGGGGTGCCCTCCTCGATGAACGCCAGGTCGGTCAGGTACATTCCCAGGTAGGGGACACATGGAGGGTCACAACTTTGGGAGCAAACCAGAAACAAAAGAAAGAAACCCACCTCACTCAGGGGCTCTGGACTGCCCACCATGCGCTGAGATGCAGAGCCCACAGGGATGCACCAGCCCCAGGGCAGCTCAGCACCCCACTCCCCACAGCACTGGGCTCCTCAGCTTGTGGGACCAGGCAGACACCCAGCAACAGTGATCTGGGGAGCTGAGTGCTGGCAGAGGAGCCTGATGCTGCTCCTGGCTGGGTGCTGGCTGCTGGTGCAGCACCACCAGCTCTCTGCAGCGCAACGCGGGCACCTCCTGTAAGGTCCACACTGGCTGGAGCAACATGCACTGGCTGGTGGGAAAGTGCAGCTAAATGTGGTACACTTTGGGGGTCAAACTCAGTCTGTAAGGGGGGGGGGAGGAGTGTTTCCCGGTGCCTGGCAGTGATTTGCCTCTTCACAATCCCTTTTATTGACATCTTTCCACACCACTGCTCAAAGGAGCAGCCAGGTTGGACGGGGCTTGGATCAACCTGGTCTGGTGGACCTGGTCCCCCCCGTGGGGGACAGGCAGGGGCTGGAACTGGATGAGCTTTAGGATGTGCATCAGTGCAGGCTCTGCAGTGAGTGTGTGAGCAAAGCCCCAGCCCGCAGCCCCCGCCGGAGCAGAGTCATCCACTCACTTTTTCAGTGCCTCCCTCAGGTTCTTGAACCTGCCCTCGGATGACACCAGCTTCTGCAGCTTATCGATCAGAGCCTTGGTCTGCAAGAAACCCACGTGTCGCATGAGCTCTGATCCCCGCAGCGGGGACAGTGAGGTTCCGGGGTCGCTCCCATCCCGCCCTGCCCACAGATCCCCCAGGACACGTCACCCCGAGCAGCTCCTCGACGCTCCCACAGGTACAGACTCTGCCCTGGCTGCTATTCCCAGCTCCTGCTGACATCCAGGAGCACTTGGAAGTCAAGTTCCCCCAGCACACGAGGACAGGCTCTGCACTCGTTTCCTCCCCTGCTCCCACCTCTGCCTTCGCCAGAGCCTGTGTTAATTTACAGATTTACCACTTTGCGGGTAAAGAGACAGTGTTCCAGAGGCAGGAGCCCCCAAAGCAGCTCTGCTCAGCAGCTCCGGCCTCCTCAGGTTCTGCACCCTGCAGCTACAAGCTATTTCTGTACCAAGTAACACAAGAATTCATTCTGCTCAACCGTAACTGGCCTGAGAATCCCGGAAAACCAGTTTAAAGAACCATCTGTGTGTGTATAGACCTACAACGACTCTTTTCCCAGAGACATTCCAGTTGGACACAAGCGGAAAATGTTTCCCACTGAGAACAAGCAGCCACTGGAATAATCTCCCCAGGGAAGTGGTGACTCCCCAGCATTGGACACTGTTAAGGTTCAGATGGACAAGGTGCTGGGACATCCGGTCTAGGTCATGCTGTGCCTGGAAAGGTTGGACCTTTGGTCTCTGTTCTACCCGTTTCTTTAACGCGTGTGTCTGCACCGTCCCACCACCGCGGCTCCCAGCCCCCCGAACCCTCCCCTGCTCCCCAGCGGGGCCGTCCCCGTGCCCCCACCTGCTTGGAGACCTTGAGCCAGGTCTTCTTGAGGCGGAAGATGGCGCTGCGGTTGAGCGAGGAGGTGATCTCCAGCACGGCGTTGTAGTTGTGCAGGCACCGGCAGATGTCCGCCACCGCCACCCACTTCTCGATGGCGCTCACCCGCGCGTTGATCTCCTCGTTCCGGATGATCTCCGACGCGATCAAGTTGCTGACCTTTGGGAGACACCGGCCCCGGCCCCACTGTTAGGATGGCTTTGGATGAGGCCGCACACCCTCCAGCCTCACAGAATTCCCTTCGCTGCAGGAGCCCCAGAAGATGCCCCCTGAGCATCTTCTTCATTCAGGAGATGCTCAACCTGTAACGGGTCCCCAGGGCAGGTAACACCCACGGAGCACAGGTTGGTGCAGATGCACCTTGTACCCCCCAGCCCCTGGCCAGTGCTGGGTGGGCTGCGCTGCCTCAGCTTTGCCCATGTCCCCATCCCCTCTGTGGCTGCACTTACATCATTGAAGTGTTTTGTGTTCTTCATGATGTATGGAGTCCTTTCGTTCTTCTCCAGCTTCATCCAGCCTTGCCCAAAGAACTCTCTGCAAATGACAACATTTACTTCCCATTTGTCTGGGGTGCTCAAGCCCTGCAAGCACCACTGCACCCACACGGGATGGAGATACCGGGGCCTTTGCCCCCCACACTGCTGGAAAGGGACCACATGGATGCACTTGGAAGTGTGATGGATGTGGAAGGGTCTCCCCAAGCGGGTTACCCCAGGGACATCAGATCAGCCCCAGGGTCAGGCCCCACGTGTAGGTTGAGGCCAGGCTGGGATACTGGCAGAGCAGGAGGAAGAGTTTGCACCCTGTGGGTTTAGCCTGGGCAGGTGCAGGGAGCTGCGGAACAGCCTTCCCTCACCACAGGGACCACTCACTCATAGGGGATCTTCTTGAAGACCAGGTGATCCAGCAGCGTCAGTTGTTCTGCTATTTCCAGGGCTGAGTGGTTTTCAAAGGGTTCTGCTTTGACTCCCTCAGCCTGAGGGACAAAGGCAGCAATAAGGGTTCAGAGCGTGGCAGGAGCTCCTACATGTCACGCATGCAAAGCCAAACTCGGCTAACCCCCCTTCCCTAGGGTCCGGCCCCTCTGCAGAGCAGGGTTTGGGGAAGCAGAGCGTTCCCAGCCCCCCATGGTGAACCAGCGCCAGGGACTGTCGCAGCCAGCACAGGCTAACAGCCCACTGGGAGATCCCTCCTGCCTGTGGGAAGGAGGTTGTGAAAGCGGCTCTGGGGAACAAACACCAGCAACCACCAGCTGAGCTCCCTCTGCGGCTCAAGGGCCCATGAGAGGCTGTGGGGTGTGGGTGCACAGGAGGACACAGGCTGTGGGTCACGCTTTGCCAGGGCACAGGGTGCTGGATGGGCAAATGGCACCGGTGGCACCCAGCAGCACCCTGCACAGTGCAGGAGGGCTCTGAGCACCCAGTGAGCGTCTAGCACACAGCACAATGCACATGAGGAAGGGATTGGGGAACCTCCATTGTCCCAGGGTGCACCCCAAACCCAGGGCTCTCTCATGTGCCCACTGTGCCTCTGACCACAGGTCACTGCTGCTGGGCTGGAGGGACAGACTGAACCCTCTGGTTTTGTTTGGCTTCTCCAAAGGAGGTTTCCAGCACTCGTGGTTACAAAAAAAGCTGAAAATCCCCAGAGGGATCGGCCGCTCCAGAAGCACCGACAGACCCAGGGACAGAGCCACTGTTGTTTCAGGTGCACCCAACCCATTTGAAGTGGTTGGATTTTTTCTGGGAGCAGACTCTGTCGGTTTTTAATGCAGGAAGGCAGCAAATGCGCCCCAGCCACTGTGATGGTTTTAAACCACTGCCCGTTCCCAGGGCTCTGCTCCCAGGGGAGCAGCACCGACACCAGCTGGGCCGGTGCCCATCACTTGGAACCAGCTCACGGCAGCACCGGCACAGGGCTGGGACGTGGAGGACACAGTGGAGATCCACATGCTTTCCTGAGTCCCTTGGGCAGGCACGTCCCTGTGCCCACTCCAGCATCCTGCCAGTGGTGCAGCACTAATGTGGCTGGTGGAGTGGGTTAGTGTTTCTTCTGCCCATAACAGATCCAGCTGTGCTCACAGCTGGCCCTGTCCCCATCCTTGTCCCTGCTTTGTAGCTGCACGCCTGGAGAGCTGCCTGCCATCGGGTTGGGTGCACTGGACCATGGGGATCTATAGCTGATCCCCTGCCACCACCCCAATGTATGACAAAGGGGAAGGGTGTTTACCATCTGTACGACCTCTTCCAGGGTTATCTGATTGTCTCCTGGATCCTCCTGTGTCAAGGTCCTACAGCATGAAAAGACAGTGTCACTGTGCTGGGAGAGCATCAGACCTGCACCACCCAACAGGGCTGTGCAGGACATCGTGGCTTTGCACATATTAAGTGCTCGGTGTGCAGAACACGTCCAAGTCCCAGCTCCCATTTTAAAGAGAAAAAACTCCTTATCTGCATTATTCCTCCCCTCAGCAACTCCCAGTCCAGGAAAAGCAACTCCCACCCTCGGTTCTTCACCTTATGATGTTGGCGGCTGCTTTCCTCTCCTGGGTCAGGAGCTCAGGATCGTGGATAACCTCCTCCAGGAAGCCGATCACTCGGAACTTCAGCTCCTCATTGGTTTCAAAGTCCTGTGAAGGCAGCACCGCCGTGGTGTTAATGTGCTGACGGGAGTGATGTGGACCCCCAGCAGCTCCGCTCCCTGCCCACTTACACACAGCCAGAACCAACAGCCCCGCAGTGGTGGCTGCTTGGCCAGCCAGGGCAGAGGCTGCCTCTTCCCTGCACAATCCCAATCCTCCATGCCCAGCAAATGGGAATGGGCCAGGAAGATACCAGCCCCATTCAGTACCATTGTACGTGGGCTTCCCAGTGATAACCAGTCCAGCATCACTCCCAGTGCCCCCAGTCACCAGCAGAAGAGAGGGATGGGGACAGCAAGGAAAGCCACACAGTGTCCAAACCCTGAACCCATCCTGAACACGATGAAACCCAGGTTCTCCCCTTCAGCAAATGGGAATGGGCCAGGAAGATACCAGCCCCATTCAGTACCATTGTACGTGGGCTTCCCAGTGATAACCAGTCCAGCATCACTCCCAGTGCCCCCAGTCACCAGCAGAAGAGAGGGATGGGGACAGCAAGGAAAGCCACACAGTGTCCAAACCCTGAACCCATCCTGAACACGATGAAACCCAGGTTCTCCCCTTCCACCCAGCCCAGCCCAGCCAGGGCGACAACCATGGACCCTGGCACCCCTCCTCTGCAAACCCTGCACCCAGCGCCTGCCCCGCTCTGTGCCAAGGTTCCCGGCTCATCCCCACGGCCACTCATCCCGGCTGAGCTGCGGCCACGCACCGAAACTCACACCAGCAGCGTGTCCAAACCCACCTGCGAGTGTTTGGAGACCCAGTGCCGCAGCACATTGAGGACACGGTTGGTGGCTGCTCTCCGGATCACAAACTCCTTGTCCCCATTCCGCTGATCCGTCGGGAAGCCTGAAACTGCCAGCGAGTAATGGAGCCCTTAGCACAGCTCCTGCTCCAGTGGGAATTGCTTATGGCTGCTGGCAGCACTGCTGGAATAAGCAGCCCCAGCTTCCTGAGCATCCCTAAGTGCCTCCTAAGGGCGAGCACCATGTGGGCAGCTCAACCTTGGGTGCAAAGGGTTTTTCTGCCTGCAACCTGCCCATTCCCTGGGCAGCACCCGTGTCCAGGCACCCAGGGACACAGCTCAGGGGCTGCCCCCCAGCCAGGGTGCTCCTGCAGGAAAACCCAGCTGAGCATGGTGGAAATGGGCACCCCAAGCCGTGTCCCCGCTGTCCTGGCAGCCCAGGGCAGGGTACCTGCGCTGGCAAGGGACATCCTGCGGTACTTCTCCTTGGTGGGGGTCCCCTCGTTGGCTCCCGCCGTGGCGATGGCGAAGGCGGAGGCAGCGGACAGGGCGCTGCGGGTGCTGTCGAGCTCCCGGCAGGACGGCATGACCACGCCGTTGTTGTAGGAGAAACTGGGGGGAGAAGGAAGCCAACACCACTGCGGGGACTGTTCCAGCCCCGCTGGGTCACTGCCTGCAGCCCCAGCACATGGGCAGCCCCCAGGGAATAGGCTCATGGAGGTGTCAGTGCAGACCATGCTCCTCATGGAGAGCTGGCTCCCACCACTGGGGCAGCTTTGGGTGCCACCATGCCGTAAGAATTCATCCAGCCCAGCTTTACCAGGAACTAAGCCAAGAGTGAGCTATAGATGGCGTAAGATAGCTACAGGGGGCACACGAGGAGATGAATCCATGCTTGGTGCCAGCCCAGCCTCACACTGAGCAGCATAACTTGCTCCTAAGGCACCAGATTGTCCCCAGGAGGGGAGAAAAGGGCCAAGAAGACCTGATAAGATGCACATACCAGCTCTGCGATATGGGCAGAGGGTTCTGCATTTCCCTGTCCCCTTGCAGGGAGATGAAGGGTGCAGTCCTGCCCCCCTTCAGGCCCGCAGTGTCAGCAGCTCTGCACGGCCAGGCTCAGGGGCAAGGGGCCAGCCGCAGCCCCGGGTGACCCCGCGGGACGGAGCTGGGCTCACTCGTTACCTGCTGAGTTTTTGCACTTGACGGACTTGGGAGTCGTCGGAGATTTTGTTGGGGAAGTTTCAGCTTCTGCTTCATCACTGTGGTTGGGATCCGTGTCCGACTCCTCCCTGACCGACACCTCCGAGCCTGTAATGATGGGGACAGGGAACCCGTTTACATCACTGGGCACGTGCACGTCACAGCCACGTTTTATCTCTTCCAGGTTTTTTCCTAAAGTCTGGAGCAGTGGGGCAACCAGGTACAGGAAAGGTCCAGGATATAAGGAAGAAGCTCTTCCCTGTGAGGGTGCTGAGGTGCTGGCACAGGGTGCCCAGAGAAGCTGTGGCTGCCCCATCCCTGGCAGTGTTCAAGGCCAGGTTGGACACAGCACCCTGCTCTAGTGGAAGGTCCCCCTGCCTGTGGCAGGGGTTGGAACTGTATGAGATTTAGGGTCCCTTCAACCCAAACCAGACTGGGATTCTGTGGTTCTATGACTTACCCTGCTTGCCTGGCAGCGACTCCTCTTGCTTTTCTGAAGCTGCTTCTCCTTCATCAGGGATTTTATTGGGGTAGTTACTGGACACATACAGTTTGTTTATGTCCAGCGTGGTCTTGCTGAAGGGAGCCATGGAGGAGTACATGCTTGCATAGCCATTGGAGGAGCAGCTCAGGGCAGCCAGGTCCAGCGCCTTGCCCCCGGTGATGATGGGGATGTTGAGGGAGAGCTTCCTCCGCCGGCTGGGGGATGAGGACTTGGTGATGGACAGGGGGGGAGGCGAGGAGAACTTGCGGTTGGCCCTGGGGGACTTGGGGGGCTCGCCGTAGAGCAGCTTGTTGTTCTGGCTGTTTGCAAACAGCAGCTCCAGGGACCTGTGGAGAGGCAGGGAAAGGCTGAACTTACACCTACTCTGTGTGTGAGGCTGTGGAGATCCTCCACCAGCAGCAACCAGCTCCCACTGCTCACCTTGCAGGGATGGCACTGATGGGCTTCTTATAGATGGTGATGAGCTTGTCGAGGACGACCAGGGCGGTGGTGAAGACACGGTAGGAATGCAGGAAGGTGTTGAGAAAGTCGATGCTGAGGAAGCGCAGGTCCGTCAGCCTCTCCAGGAGCCGCTCCACGCTCGCATAGCGGATCTGCAGGACCTTGCAGGAATTCATCGTTTTACTGAACCTAATGTCAACATCATCACAATACAAGCTGGCATCAGACCTGCAGAGAAACAAGATTTCTGTGGCTCCAGCCTGGAACAAAACCAAGAGGAAGTGGGACAGCGAAGGGGCCCATTCACACGGGTGCCCCAATGTAAAATGCAGGTGGGAATAATCCCAGGGGAAAGGTAGGGAATTTGCACCCAGACTGATGGGAGTGGTGGGAAACACTGTGGAGTGCTCAATGGGCAGAGGCTTGTGCACTAAACACGGGTCCCTGAGGTACACCATGAACCAGGGCCCTTCCCCACACCTGACAGCAATGGGTGGTGATGTTCACACGGGTGCCCCAATGTAAAATGCAGGTGGGAATAATCCCAGGGGAAAGGTAGGGAATTTGCACCCAGACTGATGGGAGTGGTGGGAAACACTGTGGAGTGCTCAATGGGCAGAGGCTTGTGCACTAAACACGGGTCCCTGAGGTACACCATGAACCAGGGCCCTTCCCCACACCTGACAGCAATGGGTGGTGATGTGCTGGGGACACCCCCTTGTCCCCATAGCTGTGCCCAGCCCCCCTTGTGCCACACATGCCCCTGCACCCAGCACCCACCGGGATGACAACCCCCTGCACCCTTCTCTTCCAGGGCTTCACCCCCCTTTACTGTTAGTACCTTTCCCCTGAGCTCTCCCCTTCGACCTCCCCTTGCCCAATCCCACACAAACCTCCTCCCAGCTAACAACGGCTCCCAGTTGCAGCACTGGCACCAGGACACGCCAGTGCCGGGGATGCCACCAGGCTCCCAGGGCTTGGGCAGCACCACGGGAGCTGCCCTGTGGGGCCCGGCCCCACAGCACTCACTTGATCATCTGCGGGACGGTGACCTTGGAGTTCTCCTCGAAGGCGTTCATCATGAGCCCGTTGCAGCGGATGTTGTCCACACACTGCAAGAGGCACGGAGGTGGCGAGGGAGGCCCCACTGGGACACACCGTGACAGAGCGCGAGCCCGGACTCATCCAGACAAGGCACTTTGTTGCTAATGGCAGGGGGGGGGGGGG